CACCACCATCACTAACACCACCAAGAACAATGAAAAATAGTTCTTCTTGGCTGCTTTTACTCCTACTTTTTTCATATCTCCATCCCACCCCTATATCATATCTCCATCCCACCCCTATATCATATCTCCATCCCACCCCTATATCAACCCAGAGCTGCCTTGCCTGTGGATTATCAAAGGTGTCCCTCCAACCCTCCAACCGCAGCTCCTGCAGACTGGTGTTCAGACGCAGCGCCCGCTCCAGCCCCGCGAGCCGTCCCCCGGCCCCGGCCCCGACCCCGGCCCCGACTCCAGCACCCGGCCCAGGTCCCTGCCCCTGCCCCTGCACCCGGCTGTGGGAGAGGTCCAGACTGCGCAGTCCGCGGTTCTCCAGCAGACAGGCACACAGCGCGGAGACGCCTGCGGGGCGGGATGGTGGTTTCGGAGGGGGGTTGGAGTTTTGGTGGGGGAGGGGGAGGGGTTTTAGGTGGGCTGAAGTCATATACATACATACATACTTACATACATACACATGCGCAGACACACACACGCACAGAACCGAACCTCGTGACTGGCAAAACAGCACCGTAACACGAGCCTCGTTTCCTCCCGATCACCTTCGTCGTGAAGCTGGCAACGACGCAAGTTCAGAAGCTGCAAAGTGGAATTGTGCCCTGACAACGCGCGAGCCAGCGCCGCTGCGCCCGCATCCCCAACTGCGCTGCCCCGTAAGCTCAGCGCCGTCAACCGAGTGTTGCCCGCCAGCGCTGCCGCCAGCTGCCCCACGCCATCCGCCGCGGCTTCCGGCAGAGCGTGGTTGTGTATGTAAAGCGACCGCAGCGCCGGCGCCGACGCCAGCACCGACGCCAGCAACCAGCAGTAGCGCGGCGAGGCGACGCCAGGGATGGCGGCACCGCCAGCGGCAGCGGAGCCCCAGGGCTGACCAGAGGCCACCGCCGCCAAGCCCTGTATCGTACTGACGGCACCGTCAGTAACGTACGAGGCGAGTCCGGAAAGCACAGCGCCGCCGTACTGTACCCAACCCAGCACTGCGGCGGTGCCGCCGCTGCCGCCGGCGGCTCCTGCTGCCGAACCCGCAGCCGATGCGTCCGTAGAGAAGGGACTCAGAAAGCCGGCAGCGGGACCGCTGACGCCAAAGTACGACCGCGCGCGTGGCGTCCCTCCGCCGCCGCCGCCGCCGCCAGCACCCTGGCCGCCGCCGCCGTGTCTGACGCCGTTAACACCTGCGGCCCCGGCGGCCTCTGCCAGCCGGCTCCGAACGCCGTACCGTGCCGTAGGCAAGGCGGCGGCGGTGCCGCCGCCTCCACCGCCGACGGAGCCGCCGAGGAAGTAACCTGATCGCCGCGCAGCGCGGCGGCCCGGTTTGCCGCGGTAGCTGTTATCCACACCGACCCGTGGGTCCGCGGTGCCCGCCTCCCGTAATGCGAAGGGCGCCCCTGGCGGCAGCTCTATTGCCAGAGACTCCAGGGTGGGGTGGTCTAAGAGGTACATATCCACAGCACCCTGAAGGGCGAAAGGGAACCGCGTGATGTAACGACATGATAGGGCGGGGCGAGGCGCATTGGAGGAGTAGCGGAAAACTCTGTATGTATGCGCTTTCAATTGCCCAAACCCGCCGCTCCCCCCCTCCCAAAATGCCATAAAGAATACATGTATGTGTATGGTATACACACACATATATATGTACATACTCTATGTACATATGTATATGGAATATACATGGAATATATATGGAATATATATGGAGTATATATTCCATATATATATATATATGGAGTATATATTCCATATATATATATATGGAATATATGTATATTAGGCATATACA